CCAGCCTCTATGCATAGAATCTAATTTTGATTTTTGCGCCCGTTTTTTAACACCGTCTTATCATCTTATAGTGTCTTCTGCGCCTGTCCGCCGCCATTGCAGTTGTGTGTTTTTCGTGCTCTTCAATTTTGTAAGTTCGTGCGGTAAATAAGATAGTAAGTCTGGTTTTTGGTGTTGAATTGTGCTTATTTTCACTTTCCGGTGCAGTTTTATCAAGATTTATGCAAGTACTAGGACGTTTACAGTGAGTATTAAACAACCTGCTATGCTGGAGCAGTTAGGTCTAACTGAAAGGTATGTTTACGTTTCACCTTGACTGTTCATGGATTACTGTTTAAAAATGGATGTGATTTTTATGAAATTGAATTAGAATTATACCGTCATAGAATGATTTAATTTAAAGAATTTTTTTTGATTATTTTCATATTAAAACTTTGAGTTCACACATGAAGGCATTTTTAATATTACATATTACATATTTTTATGCAATTTCACACCTTCTGATGTAATTTGGAGTCAAAGATTGATTTAGTTTAAAAATTTTGAGTGTTTGATTATTATCATACTTGAGACTTTAAATATGTGCATGACGGCCATTTTCGAAATTTTTTTACTGTATTATATATATCTTCATCCACTTTCACACCTTTTGATATAGTTTTGAGTCAAAGATTGGTTTAATTTAAGAATTTCAGGTGCTTGATTACTTTCATATTTAAGATTTTTAAATGCGTGCATTAACACATTTTTCGATTATTTTTGAGAATTTCCGATATTGTTGTATATCTTTATGTAATTTTACACCTATGTATGCAGTTTAAAGTCATTATTTTTGTACGTTACAAGAATTTGTATTTGTTTGACTTCACTACACTTATCAATTTTGAAATCGTGCGTGAAGGTGTTTGAGAACCATTCTTAAGTGTTTGTGATGTTAATCGGTACCTTTACGTATTTTCACGTATTTTTGAGTATTAAAATGATATTTTTATATGTTATTTAAAGAGATATACATGATTGATTCTCTCATTCTATTAAACTTCGAACTTACGCATGAAGGCATTGTTTGATGGTACCTGAGAATTCTTGAATTAATTGTTAATATTTATGCTTTTTCGCAACTTTTAACGTAAATTAGATAAATTTTTATTGTCAAGTACTTTATTAGGCTTAACATGGATGCCGCGTGTTTATAGTTATAGCTCACCGGTTTTGCACTTTTCAGTTTGAACTTTCAGTCTGTTGTCTAAAATTGGGAACTTTACATTATTTAGTGTAGTTTTTACGCCAGAACTCTGATTTTAAATTAGTAATTTAATGTGTTGAGCGAGATTTTATTATTGTGGTTTTTATTAGCCTAAAGGGCTATTATTTTGCCTCGAAAACTTTAAATGGCCGTTTCACTCTTCAAATTGTTGCCACCAAATATTAACGCCCTGTATTATATTTAAAGAAATTAAACAATGAAGAATCTGCATAAATGTATGTATGTTTCTCGCATTGTGATAAAACAAAGTTGCAGAGAGCCATCAAATTTTGAATAAAGTAACCCTCAACCGAATATGGGAATATGGAAGCCCTAATTGGAACTTGTTTTATTATCGACTTTATGTTTTGTCAGACATTAAAGAATTTTCGATTAACAAATTCATCTATTTCAAAGCGAGCAATGGCAACATTGTACGGGAAAAATTGTATCTCCAGGCGCGAGACTGTGTATCGGAAATTCTAAAGATATGCTCATTTAAAAGTTATTTTGCGACATTGCTGTTGAATTTAATTTTATTGTTTAAGTACAAAGAACATGATATTTAATAAATAAATTAAAAATAATAAAGTTAATAATAAGGTTAAGAAAACATCCCTTTGGGCGTAATGTAATATCTAAAAGCTTTCAGATTTTTTTTTTTTTTAATTCATTGATGTTATTCATTGTTAAGAATGCACTTATATCATTTAATTTAATATACTGTATTTTATCATTTGATATAATAGACTGTATTCCGAAAATAATTACTTGGAAAATCCTTTCAAATATTTGATACGATACTGCGTTCAGTTCGAAGAAAATTGTGTCTGTATTTTTTTTAAAAAGGAAATAGTACAGCTGCTTGTGGCAGCAAGCTGGGTAAAATAATCTAAAGACTATTTTCTAAACTTAGAAAAGAAAATGTAAAAGCTTATTTTAATGAGTAGTATAATATCAATAAATGTTAGCTAGTAACTAATAATAATAGAGGTGAAAAATCGTGTTTATTGCTTTGGAAACGCTGGATTTTTAATCACGGTGTTATAAAGTTTAACAAATTTTTTAAAAAAATAAGTAAAAAAATTCTGAAAGCTTTCAGATTTTATATTCCGGCCAAAAGCGCGTTTTTTGACGTTTTGTATATTACCTTTAATGATTAAATATCATGTTCTTCGGACTTACACATAAAATTCAGTTCAACAGAAATATCTTTAGAATTTACGATGCGCAATCTCACAAAATGTTTAAAAACAGAAAATCGGCATATCTTTAGAATTTTGGATACATGGTCTCGCACGCTGGGGATAAAAATGGTTTTTTCCATACGGTGTTGCCACTGCTCGCTTTGAAATCGTTGAGTTTGTTAATCAAAAATTTCGTTAAAGTTTTACAGAATTTTAAATAGATAATAAAACAAATTCAAAATTCGGGCTTTTAAGTGCCCATGTTTGGTTGCAGGATTACGTTATTCAAAATTTGATGGCTGTATAGTTACCGTTATTTCTTCACAATGCGAGAAACTTCATGCATTCATGCAGATTTTTCATTATTTAGTTTCTTTAAACATGGCGATAATATTTGGTGGCAACAGTTTGAAAAGTGAATCGACGCAAAATGACATTTTGCAATTAATAGCCCTTCTTTGCTAACACCTTTTCTACTCTCAAATTGTGGCCACCAAACGTTAGAGCCCTTTATTACATTTAAAGGAATTAAATGATGAAGAATTTGCATGAATGTATGTATGTTTCTCGCACTGTGAAATAACTACGGTACCTAGAGCTATTGATGTTTCAATAACGTACGTTTGCACCCGAATATGGGCATCTCTAAGCCCAAATTTGGAATTTGTTTTATTATCTTTTTCATATTTTGTAAAACTTTGATTAACAAACTCGACGATTTCAAAGCGAGCAATGGCCAAAATAAAATCATCTCCAGCGCTAGAGACTGTGCATCTGATAAGTGATAAGTGACGGAGGGCGTGGGCACTATCCCTCTACCATGATAGTCAATTGGTATAGCTCCACGTCCTCCCTTATCTAGAGTCCGGCTTGAGGGGCCACAAGCCTCGCACAGGACGCCTTGTCGCAACGCCCGGACCGTACCGTCAGCAATCATGCCGACCAAATGCCAACGGGGTGGACACCCGTCCAAAGTGTCCGGGCCCAATAAAAGTTTACAATAAAAGTTTACATACTCCAATAAAAGTTTACATGGCCGAACAGAGGCAGTAATACATTCATTTGATATCATTGTGCATAAGTGCCACTCAAATGCATAATAATAATAAATAAAAAAAAACCTTAAATGCATTAATACCTGAGAACTTATTGCGTGTGCATTTGAGTACTGAGTACAACGTTACCTGGATACTGAATACATTAATTTTAGCATACTTTTGTAACATGTTGATTCGTACACACCGACCTAATTAACCACATAAATACGCACATAAATACACACATAAATACACTTAAAGACATAATATATAAATACCTAAATACATGAAAACCTGAGAACTGGTTACGTGTGCACATGAGTGCTAAATACAACGTAACCTGGAGACTGAATGCATAAATATTTGCATACATTTGCGACATGTTCTTTCGTACAAATCGACCTAATTAAAACACATATATACACACATATATACATAAATTCACAAATGCCGCTTAAATACATAATAAATAAACACCTATATGCCTGAGACCAATTACGTGCGCACATGCGTACTAAATGCAATGTTACCTTGAATCTGAACACATAAATAATAACAATCTAATAACTTTACATATTATGCATACCCCTGTTGTATATATAACAGCATGTTGCCAATATTTACTTTACGCATTTTTACTTATTGGTACTTATATCTTTGCATAATTATCATTACATAATTTATACATATTGTAACCTGACTAATTTTAATCGTGCCAAAGCGTGTGTCTCTTCAGGCTGCTTTATGCTACTATCACTAGGCACTTTGACATAAATCAACACCTAATGCCGAGAGTTTTGACATTATGTTGCAGACTTTTCGTACCAAATGTTTTTGTTTTATTAGGTACTTGCAATATGCCTGAGTGTTTGTCGAGGGAATAGTCAGGTGTTGCCCAGCAGTAAGTTGGCAAGTAGTCACATAATGTTCCGGCGTTCCTTGTGAGCCGCAAACGCATAAGTCAGTGTTACTGATTCCAAAGCGTTCGAAGTAAACTGGGAATGGGCCATGGCCGCTGATATACCGTATTCCCCCTTCTCGCTTGTTCCTTTCCGGGTCGACATATGCAATGTGGTATGCGGTACGTCGCCCGGTGGTGCTTGAGTCCCACTCCTGTTGCCACTTAGAGAGAACTTGCAACCTGATAGATCTTTTGAGATGTGAGAGTGGCCATGGAAGGTGGATGAACTGGCCTTTGGAGTTGGTGGCAGCCTCTTTGGCCTGTTGGTCTGCTATTTCATTCTCCTGTGTGGCCAACGTGAGCCTTAATCCATTTAAGGTAGATCTCTTTATGTGGGTTATCCCTGAGACTACGTTGTAAATCGGCGACCATTTCAGAGCTGTGATCTGGATTGGCGATTGCATGGAGCGAGGAAAAGGCTGTCGGAGTGGATGATGCCTGATGGTATATCCGTATTTATTAGATAGCGTACCGCGTTTTTGATAGCTGCAACCTCACTTTGAAATACGCTATTATTCGCGTGGAGGTGTGCTTGCCATGTGTGCTGGATGTTGTTATCTGCGGTGACTATGAAAGAGCAGCCCACATGGTCCTCGATCTTCGAGCCATCGGTAAAGACTTTGATTCTAGTGGTTGGTTCTTCTTCTGCGGTGCGTATGAGTAGTCTTACATCAAGACCTTTTAGTGTTGGGCGAAAAGCAGTAGGGAGGACTCTTTTTTCGTATCAGTATCAGTATCAGAGTTTCGTTTCAGTATCAGATAACCAAGGATCTACATTTTTGGCCCTATACAGAAAACAGCGCTTGTGAATGCTTTCAGCAGATTCTCAGGCATAAATCTCTTCGCCGGAAGCTTCAGACTCTAATGAATAATATTCTTATTATAAACAGCAACAATCTCAAAGCAGTATAATTCTCATTTTTATAATGTTTTACACATTAATGTTAATAACGTAAGTAGCAATCACTAAAGTGGCTTATAATTTTAATAATAATAGCTTTAATTTTGTAATATTATTTTATTACTTTTTTAAAAATAAAAGCTGCTAAATGAGCAGAAAAGCTGAGTCTTTCAGACGGAACAGCTGCTTTTTCAATGGTCCTTTAGTTGAATTTCTAAAAGTATGAGTTATACCTTTGACTGTTGTAAAAGCCATCTTCGTCCACATCATTTTTGATGAATGCTTTTTAACCATAAATAGGTGGAAGAGCATCGCAGTCTTTTAGTGAAGGCCGAAGCAAGAGCTGCAGAACTAAGAAGTCAAGTTGATAAAACAGACAGGGACCTCACTTCTCTACGGAAAGAATGTAACCAGCTCAGGAATGAGGTATGGTTTGTCTTTTTTATGGAAAGGCATGTTTCATTCGTCTCAACTATGATATTATATATACTATATATATATATATATCAAGCAAGGTAGTAATTACAATTTTGAAAAACCAATTTAGTCTAGAAAACATCTTGCGCAAAATGCTGCAAAATAAGTAAAATATAAAAATTGTAGTAAGCTCGCCTAAAAGTTACCAGGAGCTGTTGCTCCAAAAGGTTCAAACACGTTTTAAAAAAATTAATACATATGAAAATCAAACCATTAAACATGTAAAACATTAAAAAAACAGAATCAGATAAAAAAAGTAAGCGGAAAATGGTAAATTAGCCCAACTCGACTTCCAAACTGGCTTTTCAAGGGAAATTTAATTTGTTTGAACGTCGAATCAAGCTAACCCCATTACGCCGAAACAGACAATTGAAACTTTTTCGCTGCAAATTTTTTTTTTTTTTAATTTAGACAAAGTGTCTTGGAAAATTTTAATAGTCTCAATTCTCTGTTCCAATTTCCCGACGCGTCCGCACAAAATGACACATTAAGGTGTTAAAATATGTTAAACTATACCGAAACGTCTTAAATCTAGACTATGATCAAAATAAAAATAAAAATAAAAATAAAAACAAAAATAAATAGCGGTCTGCTATTAGTCCTAAATATACAAAAAACATACGGGCTGGGCCTGCAAGCTTAAAGATTAACAATTTTATATATTTTAGAAATCTGTAATGGAAATCTGTAATTAAAATAAAAGAAAATTAAGATGATAACTAACAAAGTGGGTCTTGCTAAGACCAAGAAAAAGTTGTAACAAAAGAAACAAAAAACTGACCTGTGGCGATGCAGAGCTCTCCCTCTTAAAACTAGTTGAAAAGTGGTTGTAATTCCTCTTCTGTGTACTTCAGTCGTATGACGTATGTAGGGGGAGCGAAGTTCTGTGGGCATTAGCCAATACGAAGTGATTGTCCGTTATCTGCAACTCGTCTCCTATTATCGAAGGGGGTCGGAAAACTCGGAAAAACGTGGAAAGATTTTAAAAATGGCGCCTGACATGTAGTTGGAAGGAAAAAAATTGTGACTGAAAGTGAAAATGGCTAATTTAGCTAAAACTACAAAAACTTGGCCACAAAAGCAAGAGTAAAAGGAAAAAACAGTTATTTGTTAAAAAAGTCGTAATTCTTCAAGCTAGCGGGCGATCAAGCTACTACGAAAAACGAAAAGGCCCAATTTGTTAACAAAAGCAGTAAAATTGGCCATTATAGAAATTTAAAACTATTTACACAATAGTATTTAAAAGTAAAGTGCCAAAATTTTGGAGGAAAGAGAATGAAAAAACAAGAATTATCTGTACATTTTTACATTAGATTCTCTAAATCAGTCATCCATCTTAAACCGTCCTTCGGGCTTTAGGCATAAAATATCATTATCTAATTCAAAAAATCTAAAAATAGGTAAGGCTAATGCCAGCTTTTTTTAGGGTATTTTTAATTATTTTATGAGGAATTAGGTTACTTTTCAAAATAGTTACGAAGTATAGTATTTCTTCTTGTAAGTGTTTCGCAGTATTGCAGATTCTTTTTATTCTAAGTAGCTGTGAATAAATTGTGTATATATATATATATATATATATACATGAGATACAATACTATGAAAAATGCAAGTAGCTCCACATAATAACAAAAATAACACTTAATTTTAAGTGAACTAATAAGAAGTTGTAGAGTCATTGGTTTGGTTTTCTTTTTATGCTGGAGACATGAAAAATGTGCAGTGCCCTCTCCGGTATTTGAACTCTGGAGCACCCAACATGCGGAAAGACAGAAACGTATCTTATATATTCCCCCTTTTAAATGGGGATTGGAGATGAGTGGGCCCAGTCTCCCAATCCTGGTAGTGACGAATGATCGTCCACCACCTTTTGGTTTGAGAGCCACTGTAGAGTTTGATCTTCTTAGGGAGTTTAAAACAGATCAATACTATAAAAGACTACATATAAATTTTCACAATGTCTTTAAGTACCACAGAGATTTGGAAAGGGTGTAAAGGGTCTTTTTATTGACTCAAATAAAGTTTAACAGTCGCCACAGATTCTCGCCTACAGAAGCCAACAGTATGACTTAACTCAAAGATAATGGATGAACCGAAACTAAGAAACTAACGGCTTCATAACTGGCATAACGCGCAAGCTGGCTGTGACCTAAGATCGGCGTAATACGTCTAACGGCGAAAATAACTCAACGCCGCAGAATTCTAATCGCAAGAGAATGAATTTAGCATCGTGGCCTTCAAGCAGCAGAGCGCGCTCTGATTCTACCCTCTAAAACCCTAATTTAAATGGTCTCGTATTTCCACTTCATTTGAATATCACACGCGAGTTAGAAATTTACATTCTGGCAAGAAAATGGAAAGGAGATCGATAGGAAAGAATATTAACACAAAATATCTAGTTAGGAATATAAACGAGACCTTATAAAGTAAATAAGACGGAAGATTTTAATTATCAATAAAACAAAAAATAAATAAAATCTGAACCTTTCAGATTTTATATTTCAGGGGGATTCAAAACGGGTTTTGAAAAGTAATACAAACATTCAAAGTTATTCGACGTAAAATACCGTTAGAGATTCTAACGTCTTTGCGTTGTTACATAATGCCAGTAAGAAATGTAAAGAAACCGCACGCATAAAATAACCGTGCTTGAACATGCACGCTATGTTAATGTTAATGGAACACTTTGAAACCGTCGAGTTTGTTAATAAAAATTCGTTAAAGTGCTACAAAATATGAAATCGATAGTAAAACAAATTCCAGATTCCGAATTCGAGTTTTCAGATGTTCATGTTCAGTGGAAGATTACATTATTCAAATTTGGATGGCTTTAGGTACCATTGTTTTATATCAGTGCGAAAAACATATATACGTTTATGTAGATTCTTCATTATTTAGTTTCTTTAAATACAATGCAGGGCTAAAATACTTGGTGACAACAATTTGAAAAGAGAAACGCCGTTTTATACTGAAGCAACTCAAAATGCCAAAACAAAATTAATAGCCCTTCTAGGCTAACACTTTGGTCTAAAAATTTTATTTAAACTTGAAGAAAAAATAGATATTTTAATTTTAAACATTTAAAAACAGTTTGTCTATAGAGAAACCGGACATAGCTTAGAGGATCATCATGAGCTTCTTCAAAGGACATTATAAATTCAAAGCAGTTTTCGTCCAAAGCAGATATCGCAAAACGATGGCTTTCACAGCGTTTTTCAATAACCAGGTAAGAATGGCTTTCTTCGGAAAAGCACAAACATAGCTTTCCATCGACTGCTTCTTTAAAAGCTCCATTTTGCACGTAAACAAAACTGTCGAGTTGCAGAAAATAATTTATATTTTCAGAACTATAGTTGCAGTTAAACAAAAATTTCGAAGCGGAGGATTTTTATTATAACAAACAAAAATCGTCTAAAAGATGTGCGAACCGCCTTTGTATAGGCGTAACTACACGTGAAAAACGCGATCAGGCGTAAGTTACATAAATGAAAATATCAACACTCACAACAGTGGCAGTCATAATATAAAGAAACAAATAACAACTGATGAAACAGCCCAGATATGGAAAAATATGCATTGCAATTGGAAAATGTTCATCATAGAATGGATGGTCTTAAAGCAAGCGGTGAGAAGTTAAAGGGTAGTTTTCCACTGTCACATTTAAAGAATTAACACAAGAATAAGAGGAGATACTTCACAGAACATTTTATTAACAGAATATACTCTGAGAAATTGCTCAAAAGCCCTTCCGCCAGTTGTAATGCAGGCTTTACACCTACGGGACTGACGCACATATACAAAGACAACAGACATTTCTCGAATATTGCCGGCGACGATGGCGATCCTAGCGACTAGATCCATATTCGTTTCAACGAGGCATTCGTAGATTAGGCTTTTTATATGGACTCACAGGAAAAAGTCCAAACACGGAAGATCCGGTGATTTTGGTGGCCAAGCTATGGGATCACCTCGACCCATCCATCGCCCTGGAAATTTTGAGGTTCCTGTAACCAGTTTTGGGTTCCAGATGTCCACATTCGAGAGAAGGACTACGTTATTCAGAACTGGATGTCTCTAGGTACCGTTGTAATTTTACAATGAGAGAAACATATATACATTCATGCAGATTGTTCATTATTTACTTTCTTTAAATAAATATAGTGCAGGAATTTAATATTTGGTGGCCACAATTTGAAAACTGAAACGCCGTTTGTAGTGGACCAACGCAAAGTGCCAAAACGAAATGAATAGCTTTTCTGGGCAAACTGCTCCTATGGGTTAAAAACATCCATATAGGAACTGATAGGTTGTGATTATTTAATAGTTAAATTATTAATTAAACTAGTTAATATAGTAAAGTTAGCATAGGTGAAAAAATACGAAATTTTCGCTTAACAATGATTTTTGTCTAACTTCATCTTTTTCTATCATCATTTTTTAAGCTGGAGGACGAAAGAAGTCGGCTGAAGCAAAATGCTGACAAACGCCAATCCGAAATCAGCATCAGCTGGAGTCGAGAACGAGAGGATCTCAGACGAACCATCAACGAACTGAGAAACAGAATCGAAGTGTTGCAGCACCAAGTAACAGAGAATGAGAAAATATTCGTAGAGAAAGTGAGTATCAATAAGGGTAGAAATTTTCCTGTATTTCCAAAACAGCTTTTTCATTATTTTCTTTATTAATACTTGACTGTTGATTTCTTAAAATGAGTTCCCCCCCCCAGGAGTCTCGATTACGGGAAGAGTTTAAGCGTAAAAAAGACATCGCAGTAAGAGAAGCGAGAGAAAAAGGCGAGGCCGCCTTGGAGTTGGTAAAAGAAGAGGAGAAAATCCTGAGAAACAAAATACAAGAGCTAACAGATAAATTAGAGAAGGTGATTTTGAATTTAATTCGCATATTTTTAATTGATTCATATTTTAATTCACATACTTTTCTTGAAACATTATCCTCGACTGAAGTTTATTTCATAATAATATTGTTTTGCAACAAATTGTTACCATATACAAAAATTTAATATGGACATCACGTGACTTCTTTGTACGGTCTATTAAATTATACACACTTTCTGCTGCATTTCATTTAAACTCCTTTCCTCACATTATTGTAACTTAATTAACCAATCCCTCCAGCAAAGTTGAAAATGACATAAAATGTATCAAATTTTGAAGTTAAATATGCCAGCAATTTTTGTCGCACGGAAGTCAAACTTCTTATAATTTTATTTTACTTCCTTGTACGAAGTAAAGGACGTATTGTAGTCACGAAATATTTCGGGTATCATATCTAAAAACTATCTATTTTTACTATTTCCTAATATATATGGATGACGCTTTTCCCGTGACATCTGTACATCTCTTGAAACAAAAAAGCAATTAGCCGTAGAACATTAAAATTTTATACATGAGACTGCTATAACATCTAGTTGTGCACCCCCTCTTTTATTGCAGTCGCACTACTAAGACTATGTAGTATTATGATTACAGAATACCATATATATATAAACTTAAAGCATCTAAATTTATTATTAAACTAAAAAAAAGCAAGGCAATTCCTATATAATATAATAATTGCAACCGTGTATGATTGGTTTAACACAATATCAAAACAAATCCAAATGCATTCTTCCTTTAATTGGATTTGTTTTCATATTGTGTTAAACTTCTTATACACGGTTGCAAGTACTCGTATTATATTACAGAGGAATTGCCTCTTGCTTTTATTCCAAATCCTGAGAAATACATTCTTCCTTTATTTGGATTAATCCAAATGCATTCTTTCTTTAATTGGATTTGTTTTGATATTGTGTTAAACTTCTTATACACGGTTGCAATTATTATATTACAGAGGAACTGCCTTGCTTTTATTCCAATTTAATAATAAATTTAGATGCTTTAAGATTATTCTACTTCAATCCTGCAGCTATAGCGCAGGATGGGCTTAAAAATATTATATTTCTATATATATAATATATTAATATTTCTTTATATATATATACATACATATATATATATATATATATTTCTTTATATATATATATATACATACATATATATATATATTATATATATATATATATAGGGCCTTTATTTTCGCCATAGTTGGTTGTAGTAACATACTTCCAATTACAGAAATGTTTTAAAAAGCGAAAATATTCATATTTTGACAATGACAAATTTAAAAAAATTACTTTCGACTAATAACGAAACCTAACTTTTAATGCAGTCTCCGGTTTCTATACTAATATTAGGGAAAGTTTTATATTAGTTATGAGAAATTAAAATTATAAGATGTTTGGCTCCCGTACTACAAAAATTGAACGGGATATTTAATTTCAAAATTTGCTACTTTTGATGTCATTTTCGACTTGCCTCGAAGGATTGGTTTTTCAAATTAGAATAATTCGAGGAAGTAAGTTTATATAAAGCAAACATTGTGTATAATTTAATATGCTCACATCAGATTTTTTTTCTGGATTTTACTGATACTTGTGTTTAATTAACACTGGATGTCTCGTTGCCATTCCAGACTGAAATTTCTTTACGAGAGGCTGCAGAGAAAGCTCGTAAGGCAGCTTCGGAGCACAGACGAGAAAAAGAGGAATGGTCGTCAGAAAGGGAAAGCCTGGAGACCGAAATTCGTTCCGAAGTCAAGAAGCGGGAGAAAGCGGAGAGAGATTCGGAGCAACTCTTGAAGCAAAAGGAGGAGGAAGTCCTCCTCAGCAAAGAAAGAGTTGTCGCCTTGGAGAGGGAGCAGAGGCGCCTTCAGATGCAGCTGGAGGAAGTGGAAGACTTGCAACAAAAAATCAAATTAATGGAGCAAGAAGCGAGCAAAATGAAAGAAGAGTACGACCATCTAACAGCAAGGGTATTTTATCTGAAAGAAGTTTATATTTTTTAAAAATTCTTTCCCAAATGAACATTTAGTTACATTTAAATATGTGACTGAAACTATATTCTAAGCTATATGCAACGCAATTGTAATTAAATATGTACATACATTATTTATTCTATCTATTTTAATAACCAGAACTGAAAGAGTAAAACATGGCTAAGAGCAGATTTTGTCTTTCATCAGCAGTGAAATATTCATTTGAGTATTTTGGGCACTAAATACTTGTAGTATATTTAATTATTTTGTAGAGTTGCTATTGTATATGGAAATTAAGTCTTGCAGTAATAAAATGGTCCTCTACTGAACATTTTATTTTAGTCGAAATGAAGAGCCAGAACTTTTGCTCTAGACAAATTAAAATAAGGAATTCAAATTAAGAAAAAACACGCAAAAATTAAGATATTCAAATTAAGCAAAAATACGCACTTAAATTCCCACGCGGATAAAATAGTATAAAACTACACATTCACTAGAATAAGATGGCTCAGCGCGTAAATTTAAAGCATCGGCTAACGAGAATGCCAAAGCAGGAATATCACTTTAAAATAGAGCTGGCGAAAACTTGGCGAAAACTAACAGCAAATGGCATTGCCAGAAGCTGTCTCTCTCCTTCTAAAACTCAAAGATTTGGTTTGGTGTGATTTATTTGATTATGGAAAGAACACGAGAGCTACATGCGTAAGGGGAAGGATGCCATCGTGGAGGACTTTCTGAGAGAAAATGACTCTCATACACTTTATAAATAGGAAAATCTATGAAAACGTCCAAGCAGCCAGCCCGTTCGCCGAAATTGGAGCCTCGGACCGAATGACCAGTGTACAACGACTTTGCCGCTCGGCCGCTGGTGGGAGTTAAGATACAGAACCCTCAGCTTAAATACAGTCAAAGCCAGTTTGCATTCTGGTGACGAATACGGAAAGGAGAAGTTATAGTACATATCAGAATCATAATAATTGTTAATTAACATAGGATACGTTACAATTTGAAGGCACTAAATACTTCTCTCTTTTGGTTAATTAATGGCACTAAATATATCTTCTGTTTAATTATTTGATGGCCCTAGATAATTTTCTTATTTAATTTATGGCACTAAAGTTTTCACCTGTTTAGTTAATTATTAACACTAAATGCTTATTGTATTTAATTATATTACGCTACAAATACATATTCTATTTAATTACTTTATGACATTAGATTCTGTTAGTCCATATCACTGGATATTTCTCCTATTTAATTACTTTATGACACTAGATAATTCTCCTAGTTCGTTATCAGATGGCACTAAATTACTATCCTATTTACTTATTTTATAACACTAGATGCTGCTATGTGATAACATTGGATATGTCTTTATTTAATTACTTTATGGCAGTTAGAACTTCTTCTCCTATCTAACTACTTTATGGCACTAGATACCTCTATTTAGTTATTTGATTTTACTAAATACTTATCCTATTTGATTACTTTATGGCACTAAATACTTAATCCGTTTAGATTCACTAGATGTTTAGACACACTTAATCTGCACTAGATGCTGTTATTTGACAGCACTGGATATTTATCCTATTTAATTACTTTATAACGTTGCGCGCCTCTAACTAGCACGCAACCAAGAGGTGACTGTGAAAGCTTGTATAAACCACAGAGTCTTATAAAGGGTTTAAGTCCCTTTTTATTCAACGTACTAATTTACAATTGCGTTCTCTTGACGCTTACAAACGGTGCCAACTCGGCAGTCAAAATAAAAATAAAAACCTGAAAAGAAATTAAAGACAATATTCTAACTACGAGGCTCTCTCAAACTAACTAACTCACCGCGTTTTACAATACCGCTGCTAATTCAGCAACTTGAAGCTCACTGGAACAATTGCAACTACTTCCCGCCAAGCACATAGGCCGCAACGCGGGGTTTTTCAAATCTCTATAAACTACCTCCGCGCTCGCTAAGTAAGAATAACACTCTCTCACCGAACTTGTTTCCTTCTATTTAAATCATATACTTCCGCTGATAATTTGAATGCTTGCGCGTTCTACTCAAATTTACATACTCTGGCATTGGCAGTTCCAGGGGAAAGTAAGGATTGACAGGAAAGATAGTTTAAACTTAAAATAAATGTTAGTTAAAATAATATAAACCCTACATTTGCCGCTGCCAGAATTTGGAAAACTTGGAAGCAGGTCCTACAAACGACCTGTTGTAAGTTTATCTAATTCTGAACTAACTGGCGAAAGCCTCGTTTACACAAAAAATAATCTTATGTAACAATTAAAATTCTGTTATCTTTACAAAGGTCTCTTCTTACAGCAAACTTTTCCTGGACTTCATCAATCAATCTTGGTCTTTCCTTCCAGCATCTGGAAGGAATAAGTATCAGTATCTTTCTACATACATTATAATTTACACTTTCTTGACACTGAATAAATTTTTGTTTTTAAACGTTTTCGTTTTCCTTAGTTATTGCTTACTTCACATTCATTCAATTTTTCAAGCATTAATTTAACTTTACCCTGGCTCTCCACCGTGTGTGGTGTCAAACGGGAATATTCGTGTTTTAGTCTTACAACACTTCCCCTAACCACCATGATTTGTTAGAATTCAACGACCAAATAGACACACCTTACTCGACATTCTACAACTCAATGAGCTACTTTAATATTCTTAAAAATTCAAATGTAGGTGGAGAACCCTACAAAAAACACATTCATTCTAACTTCCCCCTCATTCATCTTTTAAACATGCAGGCTTTCGCTCTAAAGCATGACTTTACAGTTTAATACTTAAATTTTGAACTTCATTGCTTTTAAGCATTTCACTTTTAGCATCTAAAATTTTATGCTTCTAGACTAAATTCTACTTTTACATAACATTGCAAGTATTTACATACATTTACAAAATTTTAATACATATGATTTTTACAATTTACCATAAAATGAATAAGAGAAAATAAATTTTTACTTTACTCATTCTTCGCCAAGCTGGCGGCACTGAAACTAAAATTCTTATTAGTAATACAAGAATACGAAGTTATTTTTATCTCCGGCCAAATTTTGGCTTTAACATAACAGAATTAGTCTTTCGACCAACAGAAAATGCTTGTTTTTAGCTTTTACACTTAAAGAAAATAATACTTTTGCCTTAGCTAAATAAAGTAAAACAAAACTAAGTCTCAACCGAGACATATTGACTTTCGTCAAAACATAGAACTTCGTACTTATGCATAACATTTCGGAACAAAAGAGAAAAATTTATAGAAGGTTTTAACTTATCTTTGAGTTTTCGATGCTTGAAACTCCGTCATCCGTTTTTGGACAAAATTGATCCCAAGTTAGAGGTGTCATGGATGTCAATCTTCTCCTTGTTGATCTCCAATTGTCGTCCCACGTTGATCTTTCTTTTGCGTCCTCTACATGCTGGCCTCTTGGACGGAGTAATCGTCTGGTTGTTGGCTTTTGCGTTTCTGCCCTGGGACGGCTGGTCTTGGACGTCCTCCGGTCTGGAGTCCTTGAATTTCTTCTGTTCCTCGTACTTCTGTGCTTCCTGTTGGCGTTTCAGTTTCCGGAACGGCGGCCTTGCTGGCACCTGACTCTGTGGCCGTGTGCGCGTTCTCCTTGATGTGTAATTTCCTCCTGCCATCCTTTGTAGGTGGTGTTTTTCTTTTTACCACGGTTTCTTTACCCGGTTCATCTGTACTTTTGTTTTTCTTAAACGCCGGAGTTTGATAATCAGTTTTTTTTTTTTGATACCGACGTCCGGGTTGTAGAAGTGCTAGGTCTCTCTTCAGTTCTCTGTTTCTTGGGTGGTGGAATAGTTGTTGCAGTCTCTGGCCCTTCTATTTCGTTTAGACTTGAGTCCTGCAAGAAACTTTTAAGGATTTCAAAATCATTTGGGATTATAGTATTTTTTCACCTGGTCGGGACTTGCTTTACAGATTTCCCCTCTCTCGTTTTAAGATATAAAATACTACTCCTTTGATTTCCTGAATTACATAGGGGCCTTCAAACTTTGGAGCTAGCTTTGCCATAAAATTGTCTGGGGCACTTGATAAAGAAAATTTCCGCTTCAATACTTTATCACCAACTTTAAAATCTGCTTCACGGCGTTTTTTATCGTAATAAATTTTCTGCCTATTTCTTGCCGTATCCGAGGTTTTTTTAAGCGCCTGATCAATTAGTTTTTGCACGTCCTTTTGTTTGAATTCCTGCTCTCTTTTTTGCACAAAGAATAATTTATCTAAAGGCGTAATTAACTTTCTGCCTAAAAATAATTCTGCTGGAGTTTTTCCCGTAGTATCATGATGTGCCGTTCTTAAAGCATAAGCTAATTCATTTATGTAGCCATCCCAGCGCTTGTGATGTGTGCTAACGTAACTGCGAATTATTTTTACAATGTTTTTATTAACTCTTTCTGCTATGTTTAGCCTGTGGTCTATACGGAACCATTTTGATATGGCGTATATGCCAAGTCCATTGCATATGTTTTCAAATATTTGACTAATGAATTGTTTTCCGTTATCGCTAATGACTTTTATCGGTGCACCGTATTTTAAAATGTATCTGTGTAAGAATGCATCTGCGACTGTTTTGGCTGACGCGCGTTTAAGTGGAACAATTTCTATCCATTTTGAAAAATGATCTACTATTACTAAAAGAAAACGATTTTTATTTAACTCGCTCTGTGGGAAGGGACCAAGGAGATCTATGCCTAAAATTTCATTCGGAAATGTAGCGCGAATGCTATTTAAGTACCCGGCCGGGCTGTAATTAATATCATTTATTAACTGACATTGATTGCAGGACCTGACATACGCCGTTACTATTTGTATAATTGCGGGAAATATACCGCCTCGCGTACCCTTTTTAAAGTCTTTCTGACCCGAGGTGGCCCGCTGTTTTTTTCGTGCAACTCCCTTCAAAATGCTTAATCGAAGCGAGGCTGGGATGACTGGCTTATACTCAAGATTTTCGTTCGTTGTTTTCGTATAGAATAATAAATTATCTATTATTTCATAGTTTTTTTGCTCTATTTCTTATCGCATCGATATCTGTATGCTCAAAGCCTTCGGGGTCTTTCAAATAAGCATAGATATATTTCCAAATTCAGGATCAGCTTTCAGTTCAGTAATAACCGTATCTCTAGAATCTAAAATTTTTGAAGTCAACACAGCGCATTTAAGTTCATTACCTTCCTCGTCCAGTTTTATACGAGAAAGGTCGTCAGCTACATTGTTTTCCTTACCCGGTTTATATTTTATTGTGATATTATATTCTTGGAGTTTTAAAGCCCATCTTATTAACCTGGGCGTTAGGTTTTTTCCCGAGTAAAGTCTACCAACAGCCGCATGATCCGAAAAGACAGTTACTGGCGATTTGCCGAAATAAACTCGAAATTTGTGTACAGCCATTAATACGGCTAATGTTTCTCTTTCTGTAGCTGTATAATTCCTTTGTGTTTGATTCAATGTTTTACTAAAAAATGCCAGCGGATGGTTATTTTGCATAAGAACCGCCCCCACCGCATAGTCTGATGCATCTGCCGCAATTTCCAGGTTTTCGTCCCCCTCAGGGAATTTTAAAACAGGGGCATTAATAAGCGCTTCTTTTAATCTTTCAAAAGCCGTGTTAGCTTCCGCTGTCCACGTAAATTTACTCTTTTTTCTTTTGATTACTAAGAGTGGTTCAACAATATTAGCGAAATCTTTTATGAAAGATCGATAGTAAGAACATAGTCCAAGGAAAGACGAAAGTTTCTTGGCGGTGTTGGGCGGTAGGAAATTCTTAATAGCTTTTATTTTTGAATCTTGCGTTTCTATACCCTTTTGCGAAATTTTATAACCGAGATATTTAAGTTCTTTAGTTGCGAACTTGCATTTTGAGGCGTTAATTGTAAGACCGGCCTCTTTTAATAATTTAAAAACTTGTTCTAGATCATTAATGTGTTGTTCCAACGTACTACTCGTTATAATTATATCATCTAGATAAATTAAAGTTGATTTTCCTAGGACAGGCTTTAGAACAATGTCCATAGCTCTCTGGAATGTTGACGGGGCCCCACACAACCCAAAAGGCATGCGTAAAAATGCATAAGTGCCCGATTTTGTTATAAACGCGGTTTTATGTATATCTTCGGGTCTCATAGCTATTTGATAGTAGCCAGACGTTAAGTCCAAAGTAGACATATATCTCGTCGATTTGATCTGTCTAATGATCTCCGTCTATAAACCGGCAAAGGGTAAACTGGGAATTTAGTTAATGCTATTTAGTTTTCTATAATCGATAGCAAACCTCCAAGCCCTTTTATCCGAAGGAGGAGAAGAGGAAACTCGTTCTTTTTCCTACATAGTACGACTGGACTCGCGTATTCACTATTTATGGGCGTTATTATTTATTCTTTTTAACATCTCCTGAATATGTTCTTCGATGATTACGTCTTTTTTTTGTCATAGCGATAAGGTTTAGTCCTACAAGGTTTTTCGGCATTTAATTGAATCTTGTGAGTTACAAATCTGACAGTTTCCCGGCTTTTCTGAAAACAAATGAGAAAATTACTCACCACTTGCTGTATTGCTTTACTTTCCTGGTCATTCAAATGGCTAAGGTCCAATTCAGGTGTCTCCACCGGTTCCACCACCCTCTGGTCCATCTCCAGCACCACGGAACTATCTTGAAAATTTAATTTGGCCCTCGCGGCCCTTAAAAAGTCCATACCTAAAATAAGAGAGTGTTGGAGGTGTTTCACCACAAAAATTAATACTTTGAGATTTTCCTCTTTTATCTGTAAGTTTAATGATACTTTCCCGATGCAGTGACATGTTTTTCCTTGCGCCGCTATAATTTCCGTATTTCTGGTTTTAAAGAGTCGTATCCTATAAAAATTCTTTTTGAAGAACTTTTCACTCATGAAATTGCCTTCTACCCCTGTATCGATGAGGGCTTCTACTGGTACATCGCCAACCAGGACTTGTATAATTGGTAGCTGTGAGTTTTTTTACGATGACTGTATTTAGATGTCTATTTGAGGGTTTTACTAAAACTTCCGGGGTCTGGACCCTCCCTTTCATAGGCCCCTCTAGTCGTTTAAAGCTTTCCTTTCAATCTGTGTCTTCTGGGTACGCGGATGCTTATTTTCAAATTTTCTTTTTGGGCCTTGCCCTTCGAGTTTCGATGCGTTAGCTTGATAGTTCTTTCCCCCATAATGAGCGATTTCCATTTCTTGTTTCCTCCTTCCTTCTGGTACTTTGAGAATATGTTTCCCCTCTCGCTCTTTCCGCGATTCTGCGATTTTGAAACTTCACCGCCAAATCGAAAAGTTCCTGCAATGTGGTTGGGTTTCTAATTTCAAAGTAGTCTTGGACAGCGGGTAACAATCTTGGTAATATTATTTCAATAATCTCCGCATCGGGTTTTTTCCCATACAACATATCCGTTAGCTTGATTTTTCGTAAAATAAAGTCCGTCAATTGTGCTGTATCCCGTTGATAGAAAACTATATAGCTCGGCTTCCAGCCGTGCGCGATCTTTCACTATGGGGAAGGCCTTTACTAACGATTTTTTGAAATTTTCAAAAGTATACGTCGGGCTTCCAAATTCACCTAGAAGAAATTTGCCTATATTTTTTCCACCATAGCGCGGCCTGTCCTCTTAGTGCTGATGTGGCGATAGCAACTTTTTGTCTTTCGGGCACAGGATAGAGCTGAAAGTGGTTTTCTATACCTTCTAAAAATACGGGACACCGAATTTTTTTCCGTCGAAATAGACGTTTGGCTTGATTGATGCTCTCAAAGTCTGGACCAGGTATCCAAATCCTTCTAACTGCGTTGTCATTTCTTGGTGTTGTCCAGCGGCTTCCATCCAGTTTTCGGCCATTTCAGTTCGATAAGTGTTCGGGCGCCAATATAACGTTGCGCGCCTCTAACTAGCACGCAACCAAAAGGTGACTGTGTGAAAGCTTGTATAAACCACAGAGTCTTATAAAGGGTTTAAGTCCCTTTTTATTCAACGTACTAATTTACAATTGCGTTCTCTTGACGCTTACAAACGGTGCCAACTCGGCAGTCAAAATAAAAATAAAAACCTGAAAAGAAATTAAGACAATATTCTAACTACGAGGCTCTCAAATAACTAACTCACCGCGTTTTACAATACGCTGCTAATTCAGCAGACTTGAAGCTCACTGGAACAATTGCAACTACTTCCCGCCAAGCACATAGGCCGCAACGCGGGGTTTTTCAAATCTCTTTAACTACCTCCGCGCTCGCTAAGTAAGAATAACTCTCTCTCACCGAACTTGTTTCCTTCTATTTAAATCATACTACTTCCGCTGATAATTTGAATGCTTGCGCGTTCTACTCAAATTTACATATTCTGGCATTGGCAGTTCCAGGGGAAAGTAAGGATTGACAGGAAAGATAGTTTAAACTTAAAATAAATGTTAGTTAAAATAAATATAAACCCTACAACTTTATGGCATTAGATACTTCTCCTATTTAATTACTTTATGGCATTAGATACTTCTCCTATTTAATTATTTGAAGACACTAAATACGTATCCTATTTAATTATTTGAAGACACTAAATACGTATCCTATTTAATTACTTTATGCCACTAAATACTTATTTAATTACCTTATGCCACTAAATGCTTAATCTGTTTAATTATTTTATGGCACTAGATGCTATTACTTGATGTCATTAGATATGTCTTTTTTTTCCTTAATAGCAATAAATACTTCTCCTATTTAATTACTTTATAACTCTAAATAATCATCCTATTTAACTACTTAATGGCAATAAATATATATTATATTTAAATTATTTACGGCACAAGAATGCTGCTATTTGATAAGCACTGGATGTGTCTCCTATTGCTTTATGGCAATATAGGCTTCTCTTATTTAATTATTTGATTGCACTAAATACTTCTGCATAATTACTTTACGACACTAAATATGTACTTATTCTACTTAATTACTAAATGGCATTAGATATTTCTTCTATTTAATAATTTATCGCATTATATGCTTTTTCTTTTTAATTAATTTATGGCACTAAATACTTCTGTTTAATTACTTGATGGCACTAGAGTCTGTTATTTGATGAAGCTAAATACTCATAGCATTTGATGGTACTAAGTATTTAGTAAGTACATAGTACCATTAATTTGTATAAGTACTGTATTAGTCCAATTACGTTATTTAATGATAATTCAGAAAAGGTTTCAGTATTTTGTTTTTTCAGTTTTCCTTATTTGCGTGTAGTTCGTATATCTTGTTAACTCTCATGTATTATATTTCAGCATATTTCTCATCTGTGTTTAGAAAATCGGATGCTAATCTAAATATATTATTAAGTACAACAAAAGATAACACCAAATAGAGATTTTCAGTTAAAGCAATGGCATGATAAAAATTCTGCATTTAATATTAAATGCCGTTGGGTTATTAATTTATTTATTTGAGAGTCATTTAAAAAAATGATTGATGTCAATTTTACACTTTCTCAATAGTACGATCAGCTGGAAGACGACTTCGTGAAGACAAAAGCTAAGCTGGTTCAAGAGAAAGAACAGCTGGAAAATAGCCTCAATAAAGTCAAAAGAGAATACAATGAGCTTAGTTTCGAGCTGAATTCTTTGAAAGATACTTACAAGAGCCGCCAGGATAACTGGATAAAAGAAAAACTAGACATGCAGGTAAAATTCTGTTTTGTTTCCTGTCATTACCTGTTAGCATTTTTTAAATTCTTTTCGTAGAAATTTAAGGAAAATCAGTCTATCTTAAGATGGACTTCCAAGGCAAATAACTCTGCGAATTTTGCCAAAGCCAATTACATTGTTTCCTCGGAAATGGAATGTCATCATCTGTATTTTGTTTGGCTTGATTTGTTGATCTCTGCCGATTTGTCTAATAAAAGTTTTCTGAAGTTTTGGAGAGAAAGCGTTCGAATTCAACGATAAGTCAAATTCTTCCTTTTTTAAAATAAAATGAAATTGTTGAAGAAGTTTTTAAAGAGATGTAAACAACCTTTACCTTAGTAGGTATTCTTAACATGAATACAAAAAACTCGTTATTTGTACAACTGGTAGCGGGCTTACACTCAGTGCTGGGTTTGGTTTATTTAATTATAGCAAAGCACACTAGGGTTATCTGCCTAAGGGAAAGGATGCTTTCGTTACACGCGGAGAAAACCACGAAAACGCCCGCCGCTGGTGGGCCAGTCAGTGCTAGGACTATTCAAATAGCATGCTGAAGCTGAGTTTATCAGTTTCCGAGTACCACAGCAAAACACTGTTTTTTGGCTGTATTTCTGTTTTAATCTTTTAACTGTACTTTTGTTTATCTGTGTTGGGTGTGCTGCGTTAACCATGAGGCCGATTATTATCGAACAGGAGGTTTGCAGTGTATATTACATTACTTAAGTTACCACGGCAAATCGCCAGTAATTTCAAGAAAATAACTGCTGAAATATTGATCATATTATTTTTAACTTTGCTCATACACATAAACATATATACGTGTTTATACAGAAAGAGAAAGACATATCTAAAACTCTAGAATATTTAATTACTAAAAAATATTATCCAAAGTGCTAAGTAATTAATTAATTAAGAAATAAAATATACAGAAATAATATTAACGAAGAAAAGTGATCCCGGGCCGAAGTACACCGAGCTTTGAACCCAGACATCTTGTCCGTTTCTCCAGGATTCAAACTTTGGTGGAGCTACCAGTGTTCATAGGACTTAACTAATACTGGTGGGCTCTAATAAACTGAATCACTGAAAATAAAATCATACACTAAATGAATGTACACTATACAGTTATAATATGCTATATAAATAAATATAATGCAGTGTACAAACATTATATGATACATAAACAAAAGCTGGCACTTTAAAGAAAATTTGTATTCAGTTATAAGTAGAGTTAAATTTATTTGAATCTAAGTTTTCAAAGTCATTGCTATTACTGCCTCACATAACTTGAATAAGCTTGTATAAATCAAGGATCCCATGACGAAATTGAAAGCAGTTAATTTCCAAAACAAGATTATTATCGACTAAGATTATTATCGAATAATCGCGATAGGTTATTCCAGAACCGGCGTTAAAAGAAGATATAGTCACTTTTAAAGGCTCAGAATTCAAATATATGCTGAAAGATAGTATCTATGGAGAATTGAGGTGGTTCAAATGACATTTTATAAGACCAGATCAGAAACATGAGTTCACTGAAAGAACCTCGATGAATAAGATCAGTAACGGAGAATGAATCAAGCGCCATGTGCGAGTATGGCGAGAAGAGCGGAAAGAATCAAATGAACAGTGGGACCGGGAAACTCAGCCGTACAGCTAATTCCTTTTAGTGTAGTCTCAAGAATCCCTAAAACGTTCTTTCCACACGGAGCTAACAATGCAGTTCTAGACTGAAAACGTTTTCAGAAATTTGGGAAGTGATAAAAATTAAGCTTACTTTTTTATAGGAGGATAAACATTCTTTTCTTTCCTAAAATTATAATCGAAATTTCCTGACAAGCTTCCAAGGACTCTTGTGGGCGACACTCTAAGGCTTAGTTTGGTTTGTACATGTAATTATGGCAAAGAACCCAAGGACCATCTAAGGGAAAGGATACCTTTGTGGAAGACTTTCCTAAGGAAAAATGGTTAGCATACATGTTATGCGTGGGGAAAACCACGAAAACGCCATTGCAGCCACCCCGTTCTCCTGGAATCGAGCCAGTGTCGGAACTACCAATGTTCAGCGACTTTGCACCTTGACACTCTAGGAGAACTATCGCTCTTTTTTGACTAAACACCGTTTGCTCCATAAGTAAATTGAATCAGTTCGCGAGCGAATAGCACACTTTTAAGAAATACTAATCCGTCGGTACGAAAACACTTTCGAGACGTTAGTGGAAAGACAGAGGGATATAAAATATATCGCATTCCACCCAATACGAGCGTTTTCGACCAAACTTTAATGGAATTGGGGAAAACAATCTATTCATTAAACTGAGGTCCAAGATTTAATATCAAGGCAGATGCATATTTTTTAGTATACGTTATTATTCTTGCCTTGTACGCACGTGAGGACTTGAATATAATTGCACAACTTTTCGTTTTAGCATATTCTATTTCAGGGAAAAGAATGAACTTGAACATTACCTTTAACATGTCATTTCTTTCAGGAAAGAATGAAAGAGCTGAACAGGAGGATGGAAAGGTTAAAAACCGTTGAACAGGAGAGAAGAAGATTGCAAGATTTAGTGGATGAAAAGGAAACTCTGATCGAATCTTATAAGAAAGAAGAGAAGCATCTTAAAGAAGAAAGAGACAGACTCAGGAAACGAGTACGTCATCTTCAAACAATACATTTACAATCATTAAATATGGCTGTTGAAATTGCTGTTCTTAAATTTTTAAGCTAATTTTTATTCATTTCGCTTAAAGCTTATTTGATTTCTTTAAGTTAATATTACTTAATCAATTAAACCCCTACTTATTATCATATCAGTTAAAGAAAATATATGACAGCGGTAGCGATGAGTATTTTTTATAAGCGTTTGTTTATTTTGTAGAGTCATTAGGTTATATCGATGCAGGGACGAAAAAAATGTGCAAGAGCTCTTACCGACGTTCGAACTCCGGACTTGCCAGATACACGTCGAACGTGCTTCCAATTACACTACGAAGGCATGCAGAAAGGGGTCAGGAAATACCTGTTAGGTTCAGGTTCACTCTTGTTATTTGTCGCTATAGTCAAAACTTTCTTATTCATTTTTAAACTACTCCTCCATGAGCTATGGAGTTTGCGTTTTGAGCATATATTGTTTGTGAGTGGCAGCATAATTTGGCACAGCGATCTACTCAAAATTTGGTTTACACAGTTTTTAATTTAATGTTCAAACTGTTTTTAGCTTTCCTTAGAAGACCTTGAACCTTCATTAAGATGAGAACTTGAACTAAGATTTTAGACGCCTTATAACAGTAATGGGGAACCTATGGCACGCGTGTCACAGTCGGTACGTAAAGCCTCATCAGCCGGCACGCGACTAAAGTATTATTTCCTTAATCAATAATCACAATAAAATGATACTACTATGTAATTGAAGTAACTGTTGTAGTCTGTTCTTGATTGTTTCACTTACTTATCGCATAATGCCACTGGCATAGGGTCTAAGTCTAGATATAAGACTTTTATACACCGTCATAGAAATGATATACATATTTATTGGCTCAATTTATGACGTTTAAATTGTTTGGGCCAATCACATTACTTGTTTCATGGCAAACGCCGAAATTGAAGCAGCTAATGTTTACTAAACGAATTCAAATTTATTGCAAATTGCAGGTGAGCTTTAATACTTTCATTATTAAATATATTTTCTATACTCCAGGTCTTGAACCTTCACAAATGACTAGCAAAAAAGGCAAAATTAAACATTGATAGTGGACAATCATTTAAAGAGCCATGGACAGAATCATTTGGAGTTATTGAACACAATAGGAAAGCATTATGCATTCTGTGCGGGGAAAGTGTTGCTTGTTGCACATCTAGTGTCAGACAGCACTTTAACACCAACCACAACATTGTCGACGAATTCGATGAAGCTGAACGAGAAGGTGTTTATTGAAAGGAAATTGAGTAATTATAATTACAGAAAGTTGGTTTTTGCGATTATCTTCCTAAAACAAACCGTCTAACAACGGTTAGCTTTCAAATTTCACTGTGCCTGGCAAAACATGGTAAACCCCTCTTCGATGGGGATTTAATCGTGCCCGAAACCTCTTTGGCCCATAACTTTCCCCCCCCCCCCGAACAAAAGGTTTTGGACACGCGCCTCCAAAAAGGATCGGCACCACTGCCTTATAACTATAAAATTCCGATGACTTCGTAGGCACTCTTCTACCTCTTGGCATGATGAGTTCGCGCAGGCGACTGAGATTCTTTCATATCATGAGGATAAGTAAAAACAATATCAGATCATGGAGTGTGAATTTTTTCTATGTCGGTCACTAGCCATTTTAGACTTACTATGGCCAAAGGAGGTGGTCCTTTTATTATGGAGGCACCTAGGCGGCCACCACTGCCTGCTATAAAGAGACAGACAATTTGCATCCATGCCTTTTCCGGGATTTAAAACTTATGTTAAAGAAACCCATAATTTTAAGTGCCGATATACTAGCAAGTGTTACGTTCTTCCTGTAGCCAAAACTTAAGTTCTTATGGAATTTATCATAATGTACTGTAATCTTTCAGGTGGATGACTTCACAAAAGCCATGGAATCACGTGACCGTCCTATTCCTTGGTCGCGAGTTTCGGACAATGAGGATTCAAAGCTGAGCGCAGAGCTGGAATCTACCAGACGAGACTACGAAGGCCGCATGACACTTATGTCGTCTGAGATCACCAGTATGCAGTCCCAGATAGCCAGCTTAGTAGAGGAGAGAGACAACCTCAAATCTCAGCTATCGTCTGCAGAACGAAATGCCGAGGAAATGAGGACTGGGTCGTTGAAGAGAGAAAGGGCAAGGCACAGAGAAGAGGCAAGTAAAACGAGATACATTCTTATGATTGCTATACATTAAACTAGAATTTATCTTAATAAAACAAGATATATCCTAATATGTATTATATATAGAATATGAATTTATCTTAATAGGATATATTCTTATAATCATTATCTACACAATTCGAATTTATCTCAGTAAAACAAGATATATTCGTGTAACTATTATCTAAAAAATTCGAATTTATTTTCATTTCACAATGAAGAATCAGTTTGGTAAAATATTTTTTTAACTTTAAATGTTCAGTATAGTGCGCCTTAATAATGTTCAGTATAGTGCGCCTTATTAATTCGGGGCTGCGTTCCACACTGAACTGTACAGCTGTTTCTCTTACCATCTGATACTGCAAATAATGTAAGCATGTTAAAAATAAGCAGTACATATAAAATGGTACCAAAAGATCTACACGGGGGTTTATACTCTAAACACCATATATAGCTATATTTTTAGCTTCTGGTCCTTTTACTGATGAACTACTCACAGGGAATCAATATCATATAATATACAAACTCCCCGGTACAAAATAGTGGCTTTAGTACCTCATTTGCTTGTATTAATTGCAATAAAAATCAAAGATTCGTTAAAGTTGTCAATTGCATATCTTATAAATTAATTATAGACAAAGCTGTCTCAATTTTTAAAGAATTACTAAATTCTAATGGATGTAGTTTATTATTATTGAATCTTAAATTATTATTAAAGATCGAATGTGTAAAATAATTAATAACTGTAACTGTTTAATAATGAAAAGCCTTTTAAAAGGCTTTTCATTATTAAACAGTTACAGTTATAAATAAAAAAAATTAAGATTTTGTGCAGTGCTAAGAGATCTAGTTATTTGCAAGACAATATTTCAAGATATATCATAGGAATAATGAAAGGTTACCTGTAGTGGCAATCCGTACCAAGACGCATAAATTGAAGATTGTAAATATGTTAACTTTTCAATTATCTTTTATTTGGTTTTAATTGCCAGTTAAAAGCGATTTACTGTAATTTACCGTCACACTTTGTTTTTAAAATATTTAATGAAGATGTGAGTGTAAATAATACAAAATTAGACAGACGTTTTGAAAAGTTTACCAAGCCTTACAAAAAGTGTATAAAAGCAAACTAAATGCTCAAAGTAAAATATAAAGTAATGTGATATAATGTAAAAAACATTCAAAATAATTTTCCACTGATTAACGAATTATGTACATTAATGGTACATAGATTTTGCGGCAAAGTCATTGCGAAAAACTCTTCATACCCGTATATTCAACTTAAATACATTTTTTTATTCAAAATTAAAAACGTAATTTGGTTACAAAATAATCCGGCCACTAAAAATTCTCTCAGATGCTAGACCTTAAGTGTTGCATTTATAAAGATATCAAGAACTGTTTTAATAAACACTCTCGATGCTTTTTTCTGTTGAAAATGCCTAGTTAATTCTTGAAACCTCTGTTTATTTATTTTCTAAATCAATCAAAAAATTCTTCGCATCCATGTATAATTGAATACTTTTTATTTATAAACTATTTTTTAATTATAATTTATTGAAATTTGAGCCTGATAACTAAAAATATAATGTTTTTACAAAAAAAAAAAAAAAAAAAAAAAAAAAAAAAAAAAAAAACCGCCAGCTGCAGAGAAAACTCTGAGTTTGACAGTCATTAAGAAACCAAATGATGTTTTAATATTGTTGCGTGCGTATTTAATTAGTTAATGTTAGTTCAATTGTTATAAAGTTAATTGTGTGTGTGATTATGGCAAAGCCTCGAGGGCTATCTGCCTAAGGGGAGGGATGCCTTCGTGGAGGACTTTCTAAGGGAAACTGGCTCGTATACACGTTACACATGGGGAAAACCACGAAAACGCCCATGCAGCCAGCCCGTTCGCGGGATTCGAACCTCGGACCGAACTACCAGTGTTCAGCGACTTTACCGCTCGGCCGCTGGTGGGCCCCGTTATAAAATTAACATGCAGAGCGATGGCTAATTGAATTTTGTACGTTATTAACAAGAAAAGGTAAAGAGAACTTACATATGTCTTACTGTTTACATGACAAATTTTAGAATGATAAAAATAACAGTGCCAGATGCATAAAACATAATAAAACAATGATGCCACTGGGAAAATGCACATAAGATTAATTAAATGCTCGATTCTCAACAGCCTCCTTCGAGCATGAAAATAGTCATTGTTCATACAGATTAACCTTTACTTATTTGACTGTTTTTACACCAATCAACTTCTGGAAATGAAAATGAGGGGCTGGAAGAGCCTTCGTCAGAATGTCTGCTTATTATTCATTACTTCTGACATAGCCTAATTGAAAAGGTCCCTTCGAGAACTCATCTTGCACAAACTTGTACCTTTGGTCAATGTGCTTTGTGCGTGCGTGGAACATTGGATTTTTGATGTACTTGATAGTACTCTGATTATCAATTTGTAGGATAGGCAATGAGACATTATTAGCTATCTCATTGAACAAGCTCTTCAACCATATCAGGTCTTTTGTGGCATCAGCTGCTGCCATGAACTCTGGCTCTGTGGTCGAAACGGATATGGCCTCCTGTAGCTTGCTTCGCCACGTAATTGCACCTCCACCATAGAAAGAAATAACACCTGTTCGAGACCTGCGTGTTTTTCTGCACAGCTGTTGTTATCTGAATCACTAAACAACATCAAACTTCTATCATCTTCATTATTGTACACAATGCCGTGTCCTATGGTATTGCGAAGGTACCTTAATGTTGTCTGTACAATTTTCCCAATCAATCTCTGTAGGATTGTTCAGCTTTCGAGACATCAAACTCACTGCGTAAGCAATATCCGGTCGGGTCCCCATCGCCAAGTACAGCAAAACTGCCAACTACTGATCGGTATGGAATTTGACTGCTGAGAGGCTTCGCCTCCTTGATCTTGATCATGCCATTGTCGTCATTCGGTTTGACCATAGTCGACCTTGAGACTCGACTTCTTTACTGGGATGTGTGATGTCTTAGCATCTCCATATCGTTCTAATATCTTTTTTGTAAATGCTTCTTGGTGCAGGAAGAGTGAGCCGTCTTTCAAACGTTCAACTTGTAAACCAAGGAAACAATTTAACGTCGTTACTCGAATGTTAAAATGTTGCTTGAGCTCGTCCATAAATGTGAAGAATGCTGTTTGTCTTGAACAGCGACAATGCCATCATCAACATAAATCGCCATCAGCATCATATGTCCATAATCATTTCGTATGAACAGGCAGTTGTCGGATTTACTTTGTATCATGCCATGCTTCTTCAGCACGTCAGTAAACTTGGCATTCCAACATCGTCCAGTTTGTTTCAAGCCGTATAAAAGTCGAAGCATATTGCATACACGCTTACTTCCGTCGTTATAGCCTTTAGGTTGATACATGTAGATCTCCTCAGTTAGGTCACCGTAAAGGAATGCCGTCTCCGCTTCAATTTGATATAAGTTGAGATTCTCCTTGGCTGTCGTTGCAATTAGAGCTCGAATAGTGTCATAGCGACACACCGGGCTAAATGTGTCTTCGTAGTCGATATCCACCTTCTGGGTGTACCCTTTTGCTACTAAACGGGCCTTGAATCTCTCGATTGAGCCATCGGGATTTGTCTTCACTCTGTAAACCCAGCGATTGTCGAGGATTTTACGCCCGTTAGGTGGCTCAACAAATTGCCATGTTCCATGCTTGGCATGCGAAGCCGTTTCTTCGTCCATGGCTCGTTTCCAGTCGGCGTATTCAGGAGACTCCGTTGCTTCATCATATGTTTTATGCTCTTCCAACTTCAAAATGCTGTTATACACGTCGTATTCATTAAATCTGACAGGCCGTTGGATAGTTGAACGGTCTCGCAATGTACGCGCGGTCATCTGCGTTGGTTCATCTTCATCAGTGCACAGATCACTAGCCCCCTGTGTATCTGCGTGAGTGTTTCATTTCTTTTAATGTATAAGTGTTTATTGTTTGCCTATCTCATTAACCCCTTAGACCAATATACATATGTATCCAATGTACCTATACCACCAATGTACCTATGTATGAAACTTTTTATTAATTGTATACTGAAGCATATATATGCACACGCCCTTGTTTGGCCACGTCAATACCACATATTCTCCATTAATATATTTCCGATGCAGCCCTTTCAGGAAGTCGCCAGGGTTGTGTTGTTCTAAATAGGTGCGGGTACCGGACGACACCCGATTTGTCATATTAAGCCGTCCGGGTGTCCGGGCCCTGCATTCACCTGTCACCTGTGTATCTGCACCTTTTCGCAGCTCTGATCGCACTCTTGTAGCAGTGCATGAAGGAGGAGTTGTTGAGAGAAAGCAGACCAAGGGTTCATGTGCAGGTCCTTACCTATGGAATGCCACTTTTAATTTCATTCTCAAAGCACTGTGGCCAACCCACACAAAGGCCACTGTATCACTGTGGCCAAACAGCCTTTGCTGATGACACGACATTCATCATCAGAGGCAAATTCGAGAGACCAGCTAGATAGTAACAGTAATGAGACCATAGCGCAATTTGTACGGCTCTGTGAAGGCAAAAAACGCACCATCTCGGAAGCAAAAGTCAAAGTATTTGATAGTACTCAAATCAGTTCAAACTCTTGCAAGAAATCCAGTTTTGAAACTAAAGGGCCGTAGAATCAAACGAACTCGGAAACTAAAACTGCTGGAGGCTTATAAGCGATGAAAAGCTCTCCTGGACTGCCTCATCTCGTCAGAGCAGTCCGCACGAGGACACAAATAATTGCAAATACTTTAAGGGGCCTGAAGCTCAAGGTACAGACTGGGGCCTTAAGCCACATATCCTAAAAATCCTCTATCAGTTCGTCGTGAAAAAAATGGCCCCCTATGGAGCGGGAATCTGGGCAAACTCCAATGAACGAAAGAGAAAGAAAATTAGCTCAGTAGTATACAACGACCTTTTGCTCTGGCTATTACAAAAGGATACCGTACAACAGCGACAGC